AATACAGGCAGACTGTTGATTAACACAGGCTGTATGACACAGACAGACTGCCGATTACACAGGCTGTATGACATGGACAGACTGCTGATTAACACAGGCTGCATGACATGGACAGACTGCTGATTAACACAAGCTGTATGACACAGACAGACTGCCGATTACACAGGCTGTATGACATGGACAGACTGCTGATTAACACAGGCTGTATGACATAGACAGACTGCTGATTAGCACAGGCTTTTATGACATGGACAGACTGCTGATTAACACAAGCTGTATGACACAGGCATACTGATTATTAACATCGATTGCGTGTCCCAGGCAGACTGCTGATTAACACAGGCTGTACTACATGGGCAGACTGCTGATGACACAGGCTGCATGACACAGGCAGACTGCCATTTACACAGGCTGCATGCCTCAGATGGACTGCTGATTAACACAGGCTTTTATGACATGGGCGGACTGCTGATTAACACAGGCTGTATGACACAGACATACTGAGGATTAACACCGGTTGCATGTCCCAGGCAGACAATTGACTAACACAGCCTGTCCAATACAGACAAACCGTACATTAACATGTTGTACAACACAGACTAATAATTAACACAGGCTGAAGAGCACAGTCAGACCAATAATTAACCCAAGCTGTACAACACAGACAGACTGTTGATTAACTCCCTATGATACAGGTAGATCACTAATAACTCATGCAATGTAACTCAGTCAGACTACTGATTAACACAGGCTTCTATGACATGGGTAGACTACTGATTAACACAGGCTATTTTGCACAGGGAGGCTATACAAACACAGCAACAAAAACAGTGTATTCAAACCCAATAACACAATAAAAACGCTTATTGACACAGTCAGCCTGTACAGACACATATTGGTTACGCAGCTCCAGTAGCACAGCCAACGAACGCATTGACACAGTGTAGTGATACAGGCGTCACACTAACGTGGGGACCGGACAGCATAGGGCACAGAACCTGACCGCTCAGGTCGGATGGCTCGAACACAAAGACGCGTTCTGGAAAATGCTGAGTCATGCTGCCAGGGGTTAGGACCACAAAACCCAAGCTGCCAATATCCGGTCCCAAAACAAGCCTGAGCACCAAAGCCAGGTCACGGACGGCACCAAGAGCCAGACCGGTGACGTCCATACGTTCAGGTTCCAAACATCTCATCAATAGACATCATGGGGTACTAGTTAAGTTAACTACACGATTCAGAGTAATCTGCAATCAATTACTTCCAAACACTGGTTTTATTTTGCATCCTTGTGCTGGAAAATCCTCATATTCACTTCCATCAAGGATTTACTGCAGTCTTACATAAAAAAAGACAAAGAGTGGAGGCATCTGCAGCACAGGGTGTCTCTTAGTGCACCAGAACTTTGAAGGACTATGAGAGTTCCGTCCCAGGAGGGACACAGAGTTCTGGGGTCACATCCTGGACGTCGGGGTTAGCAGGGTGTGGGGGTTCCTTGTGTTTTGATCACGGGCTTTGTTAAAGACAGGTGTTCTGGGTGCTGGGTGGGGTCACACGACCCCACAGCCACAGCTAGCTGCAGAATTCTGAATGTCCAGAATGTTCTGGAGAGCCTGTTTGGGGACATGAGATGATGCGATGTGGTACCTAAAGACATACTGGGCGGATGGAGGGTGGTGTTTCTCCCTAGTAAGTTAAATCAAAGGAACAAACCTGACCCAATGTAAATAAAAGACTGTGACTCCTGCTAATAGGCAGGAGTCACAGCATGGGAGAAGAAGGAGAGTCAGTCGGCATGACTCAGTGACAACCTGAACCCCAGGTGCTCATGGGGTAGGGGAACATAGCTTGGAGGACCATGAAGGTCAGAAGGTCATAAAGCGTAAAGCGAGGCTCGGGACGGTGAAGGGAGATTGGGGACAATGACGTCTGCGTTGGGGACGACAGGAGGAGGCTGACTGGGGGAGCGGGGCAAGAACGCGGCAGACCTGCCAAGCATCCGAAAACAGGTGCAGCTCTGCCAGCAGGATCAGATCATCCTAAACGGAACTGGATCTGTGAGCGCGGCCGGGGTCCCTGCAAGGACAGCTTCAGGTACAGAGCGGCTGGGGGGAGGGGGAGGGGCAGATTCTCTGCAAACAAGTAGCCAATGAAAACAGGGGGGATGGAAAAAACCCAACAGAAGCACGAGCACGTCATGTGCTGCTTCTGTCAGCTGACAGACAGACTTAGAAATGACCTAACTGATGCTTTGGGTATGAGTTTAATCTCGGGAAAGTACAGCAGCACCAGACTCACACATGCACAACCTCGACCACACAGAGGCGTTTGGTCCTGCCCCCACAAACTAGCCCCACCCACTCCATCTTACTCCGCCCACTCCAGCAATTATCCACCCACATGCCCCGCCCTGCCCCGCCCTGCCCAGCCCTACCTGGTCCCACCAGCCAATGAGCCACGGTTTGGAGCAGGTCTCACAAAATAAGTCCACCAGGGGCATCCGGCGCACCTCGGAGGTCGGGCCCCTCCCGTCCAGGATGCGGTCCGGGGGTCCACCCACCCCTCCAGCCGCCGCACCCAGCTCCCGCTCGGGGCCACCCTTGGAGCGCAGGGGGCTGCAGCTGGATGAATACGCTTCCGGGATGGGGGAGGTGCGGGGCGAGCTGGCTGGGTCCTCCGCCACGCCCATGTTCTGGGGGCCCGGCGGGGCGGTGCACTGGCACAGGCAGGCAGAGCAGTAGTGCAGGGGCCGCGGGGCCGTCCTGGGGCCCCAGCCGCATGTGGGTGTGGTCCGGGTCCGTGGAAGGAGGCCGCAGCGGTCTGGGGTGGGGCACTCCAGAACGATGGCCTCCCCGGGGGGGTTTGGAGAGGCAGGAGAACCACGAGAGGAGTCGAAAAAATTGGCAGCAAAAAAACAACCTGACGGCGTTCAGAGTCGCCCCCTACAGACGCCGTCAGGGAACCTCACAGCCCCAAGCACCGGGTTCGGACCCCGATCCAGGAACGGGGCCCCCCGTCATAACCCGAAAGCCGGGCCCCCCGCCAGAGCCCGCTGGTGAAGACATCGCACGGCATCCCGACAGAAAAAAAGTCCAGCTGCCCCCTTCGACGGCGCCTCCCGGAGGCCTCGCCGGGTATAGCAGGTGTTGGGGGGGGGGGGGGTTATGGAGCGCAGCGGCAAGAGGGATGGAGCGTCTGAAGGGCACCGCAGAAGGAGAGAGGTGCGGGTTCGGGCCACGGAGCGATGGAGGCGGTGGTGCACCTACGGTCCGGAAAAACAGCCTCTGTGCGTCTCCCCCCCCCCCCGCAGCACACCGCCGGGGGATGGGCCTTCACCTCCCCGCCATCCTCCCCTGGCTCCCCCCGCGCTCTTGCCGCAGTCTCCCTCTCGCTCTCCCAGTCGGGCTCCTGCTAGTCACCCTGCTTTCTCCCGGAGCCGCTACGGCGTCTTTCTCCCAACAGGGCCGATTCTCCTCTTCCGTTTTTATGTGTTTTTTTCCGTTCCCCTGGATTTGCTGCTGTAACGCTGGCTAATCAGCCAGCGCACTCGCGCACGCGTGTGTGTGTGTGTGCGCATGTGTGTGTGTGTATGTGTGTGTGCGTTTGGGTGCGCGCTCAGGGAGCGTGCCCGTGCATGCGTGCCGCTGTGTGTGCGTGTGCGTGCGTGTGTGCGTGCGTGGACCCGTAGCTGCGCGCTCCTGCTTAATCCATCTCGCAATGTGGCTCCACGAGGCTCTGATCGGCTGCCGGCGCAGAGTAATTGCTTGCCGCGCTATGCCTGCCCATGTCCTGAGGCAGACCCCCACCAAACTGTGGCTCTGCCTACGCCCTGCCCCCTCCCGGAAAAACACAACTAAATTACGCTCTGTCTCTTTAAGACTGCGAGCCGGTGAGGAGAGTAGCTCTGCTGTCATTGGTCAGAGTCCGGATCTCATGCCTGGTGGCCGTGGCGTCCAGCCAATGGCTCACAGGGAAGGGCAGAGCTTGCTACTGTTCCATAGCAACCAAGGTTATAGTCAGACATCAGCATCAGGACCCTCTCCCCCTCCCCCTGTCCTTTCCATCTCTCCCAGCTTTTTCCCTTCTCTCTCCGCTCCTTGCACTCTCCCCGTCTGTCTCTCCACCCCCAGCCCCCTATCCATCCTCCTCCGTATCTGGCTCCCACATCCATAAAGCCTGCTCTCACCTGCATCTCCTCCTGACACACACACACACACACACACGCACACACACACACACACACACTGGTTTGTAATTATATCTCCATTCATTTCTATGGGGAAAACTCTAATTGCAGCATGATGACCTTAACCCCCACTCAGCCCTAACCCTAACCATAAGTAACCAAACAAAATACGAGACTTTTAGCATTTTTACTTTTTTTGATTGCATTCAGAGATCTTTGAACCTGGAAAATGGTCCCCACAACGTCAAAATAACATGTTTTTATTACATTGTGGGGAACATTTGGTCCCCATAATGTAATGTAAACATTATCCACACACACACACACAGACACAGACATACACCAGCTTAGATATATTTTCAACCTCTCTGTCTCACAAGTATGGAGACATACATGCAGAAATACTATCACATCTCTCTTTATTACATAATAAAATCACACACATAGACACACTCTCTCTCTTGCTCTCTCGCACACACACACACACACTGCACACACAGATTACTGATGTGTGCACGCATGCACATTGTGAGTCAGACACGCACCCACACACACAGTCGCACACACATGTGACTAGAAAGCTTGATGTGTATATTGTTTATGTAGCGGGATTTTGGACTTACAGTTCGGGCACGATGCAGGATTTAAGGCTTATTAATTACTGTTAATGTTATATTCTGCTAAGCAAGAAGGTTTCGGGTGACAGGTTTTGTCCAGGATATGGTTCTGTTAGAGGGTGCAATAGAGGGTTCTAAACCTTATCCAGTATATGGTTCTGTATGTGGTTCGGTTATGGGGTACAATAGACGGTTCTAAACCTGATCCAGTATACGGTTCTGTATGTGGTTCCGGTATATGGTGCAATAGAGGGTTCTACACCTGATACAGTAAACGGTTCTGTATGTGGTTCTGGTAGAGGGTGTGGTCCAGCGCCATCATACTGATCAGTACCTTTGTGGAGGCCATGTCACTGACAGAGCGATGTGTCTGGATTGTCTCCAGCTGGTCCAGACACCAGTCGAGCTCCTCAAGTGTCTCACGTGCAAGTTGCTGGTACGTCTCCTCTGTGAGGGGGGAGGAGAAACAGCGAGGGGGGGGGTCACTGATATGAGGATACACACAGGGACACTGACACACAGATGCACAGACTGACTCAAGCACAGACACACACAAGGATACACACACTGACACACGCGCAGACATACGCAGACGCAAGCAATGCCAGCTGCCGTTTCTCTATGGGGGAGAAAGGCATGATGGGATAGTACATACAGACACACACACATACAGACACACACACACACACACACACACAGACACACACACACACACACACATACAGACACACACACATACAGACACACAGACACACACACACACACAGACACACAC